GGGAAAGACATTTTGCCCCTTCTTCTAGGACCCAAATGCCTCAACGAGTGTTTTCTCCATGGTTCCTGCTCCCGATTCCAAGAAGTACGGAATATTAGAGCTAGAAGAAGTTTCAGAGAAAAGTAACAGGCGGATTCTTGGAGAGTGTACAGTGAGCAGTTGGAGAGCTACAGGGACAGTGCCATGTCAAGGCCACCAGACAGTCCATGGCTGTGCCTCTTCAGCCTCCCTTTGTCTTTCAGTGGGACTGAAGCACTTCCAACTCCTCACATTCAGGCCTCTGGTGAATGGATATTGAATGGCACAGCTTCTTCCCAACCTCCTGACTAGTTTGAAGCACCAAAATCTATCCCATTTGCTGTCCGTCACAGCCAGAGCCTTGTTAACCCGTGTGAACATCCCAGGTCAAGAAGCACTGCCCTCTTTACCCTGCCCACAGGACCTGTGATGTGCCAGGGTCACCCTGGTTAGTTGACCTACCAGGCCTAATAGACATCAAAGTAAGGTAGGGCAAGGACTGGATGAGGAATCTGGGGACCTGGCTCTCTCCCTAACCTGCTGAAAACCACTTCCCCTTTCTGAACCTCTGTGTTCTCCATCCGTGCAAAGAGGAAGGTGGCCTGGAACACTGGTTTTCAACCTGAGGTCTGGGAACTTCCCGAAATTGTGTGCAAAAGTACGGGAGGTGATGCAGACAGTCTTCTTAAAAGGGTGGAGAAGCTTTCATCAGCTTCTCAAAGGAATCTTGTTATGTACTTGATGGCGTTGCACTAAAATTGCTATATTGAAGCCATAACTCTTAAGATGACTGTATTTGGAAATGGGGCCTTTAGGGAGGTAATTAAGGATAAATGAGGTCTTAAGAGTGGGTCCCTAATCTGATAGGACTGGTGTCCTTAGAACAAGAGGAAGAGACACCACACATCTCTCTCTCTCTCTCTCCCCATGTGCACACAGGAAATGCTATGTGAGGACACAAGAGAAGTTGGCCATCTGCAAGCCAAGAAGAGAACTCTCAGCAGGAATGCGATTGACTGGCACCTTGAGCTTACACCTCTAGCACCGAGAATTATGAGAAAATTAATTTCTGTTGCTTTAGCCACCCAGCCTGTGGTACTTTGTGCTGGCAGCCAAAACAGACTAATACAGGTTCCATAACCCAAAAAAGATTCAGAGCCACTGGAAACCCATCCTGGACATTCATGTTTTAGTGCAACTTGATTCTAGATATTTTGCACATTTCTTGAGTTTTTAACCTTTTATATACATACTTAACATAGTTGTGATTATAGTGTATATACAAATTTGTTTTTCTTTTTCTGGTCAGAACTGTGCAGCATTCTATTCCTGCAACATACTTCATTTTCTACGAGTAGCACAGCTCAGTTTAGATCTACATAAACGCATAGACCAGAGTTTAAATCCTGATTCCACCACCTACCAGCTGTTTCTTTTGGGGAAATTTATCACACTTGAAGAGGTTATCATACAAGAGACCATATACGTTGCTTGCCGAGTTCAAGGTCCTACTTGGAAATGAAAACCTGAGATCCCTGGCACACCGTACATACTGCATCAAGACTGGACACACGTGTCAACAGATCTCCAGAACCCCCTTCTGAGCTGAGTGGCCGTTGAAATGTTGTTATCCATTAGAGAATTACTTTCTTATTCTTGCCACACAAATCACTACAAACTGAGGGCCTGAAAAAGGACACTAGTTTATTGAATTATACTCCTGGAGGGCAGGCTAAGACACAGAAACCACTGGGCTCATGTCCAGGTGTCAGTAGGGCAGCGTGCTCTTCTGGAGGATCTAGAAGAAATCGATTTCACCATCCTTCCAGCTCTAGGAGATGCCTGCCTCCCTTGGCTCATGGCTGCCTTCCTCCATCTTCCAAGCCAGTGATGCAGGATCAAGTCTTGCTCATAGTGCATCACCGTGGCCTACACTCCTGCCTCCCTCTGCCACCATAAAGCCTTGAGATGATATTGAGGCTGAGTGGATAATCCAGAAAAAACACCCTACCTTAAAGTCCGTTGGGTAGCACGAGTGTCGCACGTGCAAAGGTAACACCCCATTTCTATGCATGATAACATACTAGCTGATTTGGATCATTAGGACGTGGTTGTCTTTGGGCACGATTTCTCTGCCCACCACTCTCAGCTCCCTATTTGTGTTCACCTCTTCTTACACTGTCTGGGTGTGGCAACTTTCCCAGAACCTGCTAAGAGCAGTTGGCTGGTCGAGGTAGTGCTGAGGGTGATGTTTGAGGTGGTGGTTGACTTGGGGGTGGGGATGGGGGTCTGCCCAGGAACTCGGCAGGTAGCAGATGTTGGCTGGCTGGGAGGGAGGCCTCTCCAGGACAGCCACCACTACCTCCCAGCTTGGAGAGGTTGGAAGGAAAGGGCACAAGGGGCACGCTGAATCAGGGCTGAGGTTCAACCTCATCATTCTCCATGGGACCCCAATGTGTGTGTCTTTAATCTATGCCTCAGTACCTGCCCCTTATTTCCCCTGGGAACTGGAAGGCACTGAGATGGCCTGCGTCCTGTGACGTGCAAACTTACAGCAGCATTACTGTGCCTTACTTGGTCTCCACATGCAAGCGGGAGAGCGTGTGCTGAAGGAGGCAAGGGAGGTAGGCAAAACGATCCACTGCAGGTTGTGTCCCTGCCTCCCACCACCCCTTCGGCGCACTTCTCGCCTTCCTCAGTCTCGCCATCCTGGCCCCAGGGATCCCAGTGCAATGCCTGTGCTGGACTGCCTGCATGTCTATGTCAGCAGAAAGCCCATGTGGAAAGTCTCTTCCAAACTTACTCACTCAGACAGCATGTCACCCCCACCAGGAAATAACCCCCTGGGTCAGAGACACAGGCACAGCCTGAGCAATGGAGCCTAATTTCTCAAATGAAGGATTTGAAGTAGAAGGATGAAGTCCCACAAACATTCTTTTATGGCCCCAGGTCTGTAATCGTCCCATCCCACGGGTGATGGGGTGTCCACCTCAGCTTATGCACAGGGCACAGGTGAGAGACAGGGTGAGAATGTGGAGGGTGGTGGAACTGATGGTGCCCAAATGCCCAGGTGTAGTCACTGTATTTTGCTTCTTCACTGAACCCATGCTGCCTGTGTCCTTTTGTCCATGTGAGGGCGGTCTCCTACGTGAGCTCCCTGCCTTTGGGATGAGGTTTGTTCTCTGGTGTGAGGTGGCCACCTCCCCATTCTCCCTGACCAGGAGTGGCCAGACATCACAGGTCCAAACAGTACCATTCACAGCCACCTACAGCCACTCTGACATTTTCATATTCTGGACACCCTTCCTGTACAAGGCATGACTTCTGTATACTCCCCGCCTACAATGTGTTGACGATGTAACACTGCCCCTTGATAAAACTAGATCCCACCCTTGCTTTTGCTCCCTTCATGTGTTAAGGATCTTGACTTACTTCCTATCCACATGTTTCTCCTCAAGGAACATTAGACCTGGCTAGTTTTATTCACTCATAGACTCACACACAAGCAAACACACCCACACCCTACCTTGAGTGTTCTAGGCACTATGGTCCTCTGTTCGCATATTAAACACCAGTCTGTTGGGAATGGAGTCTGGCAGAACCAACCCCCAAACCTCTGAAATATAAGTGTGTCCTGAGTCCCAGGCCCACACAGCTCTGGGTGCAGGCTGAAGGAAAGAACCAATTCCCAGCTGTCAGTGAAGGGGAAATTGAACACAGAGTCACACTCAACCTTGTGTGGCCTAAGGAGGGAGTGCAGGAGACTGACCTGGGGCTCAGAACTACCATTGCCATGAAAACCTGCGTCACAGGCAAGACAAACATGATTTGAAAGACACCTTTCAACAACAGCAAGACTTCCAAAGTGCCATCACCATCGACACTGGCTGGCCACTTTCCACTGGAGGGTGTAGAGGTGACTAGGCTACAGGAGGAGCATTGGCTGGGAGGAGCATTGGCTGAGATGGAGAGTGATACTGAAGGATGTGAATGCTCCTTCTGGAACATGGCCACCACCCAGCACAACAGACTGATTCCCTGACCTTTGGTGGGAGGCCAATTTGCACCTTTCTTCTCCATGACCCTTGAACCTTCCCCTTTGGTCTAGAAGTCCCTGGTCTGTGGTTTCTGCCCCCACCCATCCAGTGAGTCCAAGAAAGGAAATGATAGGACTCATAGCTGAGGCTCAAAGGTGACCGCTAAAGGTAGGAAAACAACCCACAGGTGCCTGGCTGAGGTGTCCATGTGCACAGGGGCCCCAGAGGGAGGGAAGGACTCCACAGAGACAGGTCCTGGGAAGTGGGCAGAGGAGCTCAACTGGGCACTTTTACACCTGTTGAAATATAGGTTCAGGCAAGGCCACTGTGGAAAGCCATGTGGGAGATCGTGGATGTTCAGACAGCAATGTAGGGCAGATGAAACACCCAGTAACAACAGATGACCGCTGAGTAGAGGGAATGGACTCTGGAAGGGGGCCATGAGTTCCTGAAGGTGAGGGAAAACTCAGTGACAAACAAGGGAAGAAATGCCAATGTGGCCAGGCAGAGCCACCCTGAGAACAGAACCAAGGTATCAGGTGGCCTGACTGCAGGGCTCCTATCACATGCTGGCCCGGAAACCTTGCATGCCAAAAGCCCACCACAGAATGCCAGGCCTACTGCTCTGCAAGAAGCTCGGAGATGGAGAAGCTCCAGGCCCTCCCAGCCCCAAATCCCACGTCCACACCCTCCACCCCAAACAGAGACCACAGAATTTCAGAAAAACTTTAATGTAAATTGTTCACAAACGGGGGTTGGGGGGGGAAGTAAAAAAGAAATAATGGGAGCAAGGAAGTCCTGTGTGAAATGGAACAGAAGGGATCCAGCTTGGCCACAGCTCAAGGGGTACAAGGGCACCAACTGCTGTTCTTGCATGAAGGTGCTAGGTTCCACCTGTCAAACAGAGCAGAGTCAGGGAGGAACATCCACCCAGGGTCAGCTCACAGCACTCTTCAGCAGCCACGACTTTGGCGAAGGGGTGGATGGTGTGTGTAATACTCACATCAAAGTTTCTGGAGCTTGTCAGCCAGGGCCTGCATGGTCGCTGAAACAGAGAGGCATAAGCAGTCATTCCCGAGAGAGTGATACTGAAGCCCATCCCCCTTGTCCCTGGGACAAGGCACCTCTCCCTACAACTTGAGACCCCCTCACAACCCTACCCTGCAGTGGGCGTAACTCACTCCCCCACCACCTGAATGCAAGGTGAACATGTTTTCCAAGGAGAACAACATGTGCCCAGGAGTGCTCAAGCTTTGCGGCATATGAGAACCACTCAGAACTTGTCAGACAAACAAGACCCACAGAGGCCATACCAAGCAGTACCGAAGGGAACATCAGAGAGGCAGCGTCTCTAAACATCCTAGGGAAGGAGAGCTCTGGGGCTGGTTGTGGCTGGCACAGTGTGCTTGCATTTCAAACCACACTTCCCTCTTTGTCCAGAGAACTGGCTGCACATGCACAAAGGGCTCCAGGTCCAAGCGGCTGGGTTCGCCTCCCCACAGGAATGTTGGTCCCTGGGACCTGCATCCCTCACCCTCCCCATGGCCCTGACCCAGGCAAAGGCAACAGGCTCCTCATACCAACTTGCTGTCTCAGGGCGAGTATTTCTCTCTGTAGCTCTTCGCACTAGTCAACAGACACCAGAGAAAGAGAAATGGTTAGCATACTCAGGCCTCCACTTCCCTGGACTACCCCTGCCCCCACCTAGGGGACAAGACCTGCCAGGGCTCCTCAGTGGGCAAGGAGGCACTTGCCCTCCAGGACGTGCATGGTGGTGGTGGTGAGATGTAGAGTTGGGAACAGATCTCCTTAACCAAGACACAGATCAAATCTTTTACTTTGGCTGCATTTCTAGGAGCCAGAGAGAGCATTAGCTGAGGACAAGCCTCTGCTCCAGATGGTTGCTGTGGCTGTGGCTGTGGCTGCTGCAGCCTTTCAGGTCTTGGGAGTTCCTCAGGAGGTTCCAGGTCACCTGAGGGGGGAAAGAACACAAAATCCAGCTTCCACAGCTCCCAGGGAGGAAGGAGGGGCTTAGGGGGTTCTAACGTGAGGCAGCACCACCCTCTGCTGGCGGCAAGGTGCCCCTGCTCTGCCCAGCACCTCTGCCCTCCTCTCTGGGTCCCCCTGCCCTGTGTCCCAGGGGCAGCCCACCCAGCGCTGTGGTCCCCGAAAGTGTGTGTGGCTCTGGGTTAGATGCTTGCAGAGCTGCAGTCAAACCAGCCCCTGGGACACAAGCCCTGTGGCTCAACAGGGCTTGTCAGAGAAGGCCCTCTTCTGCTGAAACTCTAGGTCTGGAGTTGCAGTTTGCAACACTGCCACAAATGACCCGTGCACATAAACCTCATGCAGGAGATGAGGACACTTGGCTCCAGCTCTGCTGACACCCTATTTCCTGTGGGAGAAATTTCTGGCCAGGGAGAGAGGGAGGCAGGGGGAAGGCTGAGACTCTGGCAGAGCCAGAACCAGAGCCAGAGCCAGAGCCAGAAGGAGAGTCAGTGGTCTCCCTCCTGGTCCTCTGTCCCCTCCACTCCCAGCAAACCCACAGGACTCACTGGAAGGTGCAGGCCCACTGGCCAGAACTTGTTCTTCACTCAGGGCCAGGGGCTCCAGGTTTGCTGTATCCTGGGTGTGTCTGTTCTTCACAGCACCTCTGTCACATTCTCCACCATGCCCACAAGGATACGATGTACTCTGCCCATGTGGCAGGGACTAAAACGAAAAGTCCCCATTGATATGAAATCAGCATGTGTGTGCGTGGGTGAGGATGGGTTTCTGATCACTCATGTGTGTGTAGGCGCTGGGGTGGGGCAGGGAAGAGGGAAGGCAGTTCTGAGACTGATCTCCTCAGCATGTCCTCCCTCAGGCAGCCCTGGGCTAGGAGGCAGAGCTGAGTTGCAGAAAACTGTGGGGTGCACAGAAAGCCCAGGCCCCCTGCAAGGGAGGCACAGGAGCACCTATGAAGAAGGAGTCAGGCAGCTGATGGGCCTAAACATTAGAGCTTTGTTTCCCAAGTTTTGCAGGGGTCCCCTTCAAATCACCTGCCCCAGCCTTCCCTTCCATCCAGCCCCTCTCTGGTGGAGGAGGCTGGGAAACTTGCCCATCGTGCAGTAGGTTGCCCAGCACACACAGAGTGGTGTCCTACAGACTGCCCTGCTGAAACGAATGACAACACTGAGTGACACACAGAGGGAGCAGAGGCAGGGAGGCAGGGCTGGGCAGAAGGGTGGGGAGCAGGGAGAAGCATGGCCTCATACTCACTTCACTCTCTGGGAATGGTTCTCTGCTCGGCTCCTTGTCATCTCCTTCTCCCACCACTGGCTCTGACCCACTGTTCCTCTGGGCCACAGACTCCTGCCCAGTGCCAGTGGGCTTGGACTCTTTGGTTCCAAAAGGGGTCAAGGCATGACTGGTGCCTGTCCCCAAGAGTGGAACAGCAGAAATCCGAGAGAGGGTGGCTGCATCCTGGGGAGCTCCTGAACCTCTCCTCTGGCCCCGCAAATGAAAGAAACCCTCCCGGACAACTTCTGAGGCCCCCTCCAGGGACCTCTTCTCCTGGGCCACTTTCCATCTAGGAGTGGCCTTGGGCAGCCCACCTGCAGCAGCAACTAAGGGCAGGTAGCTGGGCCTGCTCCCCCGCTTTCCCCAGGAATCACTGTGTGCTTCCTTAGAGGACACTTCCGGATCCCTACCAGCCTGTCCTGCCTCTCGGCACCTGAAGGACAGGCAAGGCCCTGGCATGGGAAGGAACTCCTCCCTGACAGGGCTTCTCCAGAGACTGCCTGTGTCATTGAGGCTTTTGTGTTTGGCCCAGCCTCCTCCTATCTGACAAGTGCTCACCCTCCTCAGCTGCCTCTCACTGAACTCATCTGATGACTCGGACTCAGACCAAGGCAAGCTGTCCAGGCCTTCCTCAAAGGCACGCTGGCGACCCACACTGGCATTTGACCTATACCTCACCCCTTGCTTAGGGCTTCCCCTGGTACCGCCTCCTTCAGGCCCCCTGAAGTAGAACGAGACGCCGGGGGGATACCTGCGATCCCACCCAGCCATGGGCCCCTGCGCCTCTATCCCTGGGACCCGGCTCTGGGTCCAACCACACAGCGGACACTTGTCTGTTGCTGCTCTCTGGGAAGGGGCTACTGCAGAAACCCCAGGCATCTCGCTTGGTCAGCCACTGCGGGATGGCCACTGCAACCCTGTTGCCAAAGGGGGCTGGAGTGGCCCCCTCAAAGGCGGCCCCAGAGGCAGGTCTACCTTCACAGCCCTGGGCCACCTGCCCTGCCACTTCACTCACATGCTGGTTCCGCACAAAGCCCTCGGGGTCTGGGAACGGGCCCTGGCCCTCACCTTTGCCTTCTGGCTTCTGCCCTGACCCCAAAGCAAAGCCTAGTGTGCGGGCCTGCTGACCTCTCTCTGGGTGGAACTCCACCCTTGAAACAGAGGCCTGGTCCTCGTCGAGGGAGCTCATGTTGCTAAGCCCCAAAAGTCTAGCTTCTGCCGAGACAATTACCCTGGGCAAGGTGGCTTTGGCAGGAGAGTGCCGGGAGGCAGCAGGAGCACCAAAACTTCTGCAGAAACCCTGGGTCTGGCACCGCAGACAACTCACTCAGACTGCAACAATGCGCAACTTCCAGGCGCCTTTGGCACCAGGACGCGGCAGGCTCATTGGCCGCCCCCCCCCCGCCCAGCCCCAATCAGCACATCCCTTGTATGCAGGCCTGTTGAAGCCCTGGCCAATAACCTGGAGGGTCTCTGGGTGGTCCCAAATCCCGCCGTGCTGACGCAGTGGACGCTGCAGGCCCATCTGGCGGATGAATTCCAGGCTGGTGGGGTTCTCTCGCATTCCTTCTTTTCTCGCCATGCTTGGCTGGGCGCCTGCTTTCCAGGCAGAGTCCGAATGCTGAGCCCCAGTTTCCCGTGCACAGACTGGAGACATGCAGGGAACTGTCTGGTGGCAGACAGAGAGCTTGTGAGGGTGGAATGTCAGGGTGGAGGAGAAGCACGTAGCACACAAAGGGTCTGCGAGCCATTATTCCATAACAAGATTTCTCACCCAATGGGGAAAGGGGCCCCAGAAACTCTTTGGCCTCTGGTCCCTGGTGGGGGTGGGCCTACTTTGTCTTAAAGGACCAGAGAGCAAAAAGTTGTCATATTGACTGGCTGGAGGGTGTCTCCTACAGCTCAATCACCATTATGAGGTGTGACCTAATTGGCTGGTGGCTCGGTGCTCAGGAAACTTTACTGGGGGGCTGGTTTAGTGAATGGGCTGGGGTTTTCCCTGCTCTCTCAGTATGTCCCCATTCCGAGTCCCTTCAGAGAAGACGGGATCCCGAAGGTCCCCCAAAGTTTTCGTTCCTTCCTTGATCCTGGTGATGTGAACTGAAACTCTATTTCGGTTTTCACACACCAGGTTGGAACCATCCCAAACGTGAGAGAAATTATGAGCAAATCAGTGCTTTGCCCACTGCTGAGGCAGTGGAGCAGGCCGGCCCACGTATCAGTGTGAGATTTCGGGGCCTGTGCTGTGGCACTGAAGACCCTTTTGGGAGGGTAAGTGGCAGGGTTGAGGGAAAGCCTTTTAGGCAACACATGCTGTGTGTGTGGCGCTCTTCCAGATAAGCACTAACATCCTCACTGTCATCCTTGGAGTGAAGTGCCCTCTTGTGGAGCCCTCTGAAGGGTGATGAAAGATGTAGCGAGAGTTTAAGGCACTGGCCCAAGGTCATTCGGCTTCTTGAGTTCAGAAGTAGGATTGAAAGCAGACAGTCCTGCTCCAGAGCCCTTGCTTTGAGTGGAAAAGTTGAACCCTGAAAAAGCACCCATTTCCTCTGTGACCCGGCAAGTCCTCTGAAGGGTACATCTTCTGGGACATGCTGGTACAGGTAGTGTAGCAGGACACGTGCATAAGGGTGCTGGTGACAGGAGACCCTGGAAACACTCTGAAGTCCCATCAGCAAGGAAATGGGTGAATGCAACGTGGTGTATGCATCCACTAGATTAAAACGCTGCAGTCAAAACAACGCAGGAGGCCGTGTTCCCAGATTTCAAGGGCATACAGCAACTTACTTGCACAGGTATGGAATTGGATACAATTTTGTCAGTTTAAGAAAACCCTTCCCAATCCTCTATAATGTCTGAGAATACATATCAGTGTATGTATAGACTTGTTTTAAGGGCATGAAAGGACGCAGAGCCACGGCTTTACAGTGGGCAGGCTGAACAGGTCACTGGCTGTCTGTCCAATTTCCTGAACTGCCTGGCTTCCAGCTTCCTTGAGCCAGTCAGTCCTGGTACTCTCTTGGTTTGTACAGGTCCTAAAGTGTTAGAATGTCCCCTCTCTTCTGCCACCCAACACCTAGTGGCACAGCATTACCCCATTCCTTCCATGCTTCTCCGTCTCTTTCCCATTCATACTCCTCTGTCTTTCCAGTCACCTCTCCCTCCTGCATCCTACTCCACGCGATTTCTGAGAGAGGCCTGGGGTGTCTCAACATCTGTTGGTAGAGGGCACACAAAGGCCCCATTTTTCTGGGTCTGATGGAGAAGGCTATGGAGCAGGGAGAGTGGGCGCACTCTGAAGTTGTGATCATACTCCTGAAGTGTGGCCCCTCTGCCCCCCACAATCCCTGTCTGCGTGCAGATAAGGCCCTCCCTCACTTGTCCCAGTGAGTTTTCAAGACGTGGTGTGCTGTTTCAGACATGCTGAAATGGACAGCGAAGGACAGAGAAAAATCTGTACCCACCAGCATCGCAGGAAACATTAGCCATCTATGCTGGGGAGGCCTCTGACATCCCTCTCGCCGTTTCCATTTTCTCCCTCCTTCCCTCCCTCTCTCCCCCATAGAGAGAATCAAAGAACTTCTTCACACCTCCTCCACTTTCTTCATCCCTGGGGCTCTGCTGCCTCCTCTTCCTCTGCATTTTATATGTCTTTAATAGGGTTGCTAATCTCTCCTAACCACACTCCCCACCTGAGGCTCAGAAGGATGGTGGTATTGGTTTTGGCCTTCTGTCTTGGCCTGGGGTGAGACTAGTATCAGAGGATTCAGTTGGCCTTCCCCACCTTGATGGCTCTTACCCCACAGACCAATGACCCTGTGGGTGTTATTGCTCTGACCTCCAAGTGTGTAACTTACAATGATCAAAGTTGGGGCTGGGGAAACAACCACTCTTTTGATCCATAGCAGTGGTCAGCTTACAGTGAACCAGACTGTGTGTGTCCCCATCTGCTTTTATTACCAGTGCCTCATAAACCCCTTTCTAACATCCATCATGACACTCTGGGCTGCTAGGATCAATGTCGTCTTAGACCCTGTGTTCAGCAGTTCTGTAAATGTCTGGATATTTTTCTTTCTCAAGTGTAGAGTAACTTGAGAATTTTCATTCATTCTTTTTAGGAAAGTGTAGTGGCACCCTTACAGTATGCAAGTTTTCTAGCTTGTTTCTTTTTTTTAAAAAACATTTATTTATGTATTTTTTAAGAGAATGTAGGGGAGTAAGAGGGAGAGGAACATTAATGTGTAGTTTTTTCTTACATGTCTCATCCTGGGGATCTGGCCCACAACTCAAGCATGTGCCCTGACTTGGAACTGAACTGGTGTCCGTGTGTTTCACAGGGCAGTTCTTAATCCACTGAGCCATACCAGCCAGGGCTTTTTAAACACTCTTGATTGCCCCACCGATCTTGTCATTTGTAACTGAAATGTGGTCTTCTGGCATCTTTGTTAAAAGGTGCTCTCTATCCTTTGTTATGTTGGAATGCCATTATTCCCATGGAAGTATATGAGGTCAGGTTGAGATCACTTTCCTTCCATCATCTGTATTGGTCTTCAGAGGAGAACAAACACAGAACTTAGTGACATTGGGACCCCTCTCACTGGAACCTTCTTGATGGTTTTGATGAATGGTGTGTCCTCCTGTCCCACCTGTGGAATATTTCCATCAAGCGATGTGGGTGGCTTCACAGTTTCTCTCTATCCCGGCATGCCTCATAACTGAATGTGATTGTTCTTTTCTCTACCACCTACAAGTCCAAGGTAAGTATTTTCTCATTTCTCCATTTGTGCCATCACTTTCTTACAGTTTCTAATGGCTAATCTGGGAGTGAGTTTCCTCCATCTTCTGGGATCCTTGCCAGTGTGTTAAATCTCATGACATGAGAAATTGCCTCCATTCAGTAAAGCTTGCTTATACACTCTTATATTCTAGTCTCCTTGATCCAGCACCCTCAAAATTCAGTTCTAGTGCTATTTTCCAGCTCCTGCCAGAACAGGCTCGCTATTTGTTGCAGTTTCTTTGGTTTATAATTTTTTTTCTTCCTTAAACTTTCCATATCCCCAGTGAGGTTATGGAGAAGAGATGGGTGCTTCTCCTGGAAAGGGAACCTGTGGCTTTGTAGGGGAATAGACTGTATGGCATCTTTCAGCACAGGGCATGTGCCAGCTCTTGTTTGGGAAGGAAGGGTCACCTTGCAAACTCTCAGGCCTTAGGGGTTGAGGCCCTAGGCTAGAGGAATCAAATGGTATTTGAACATACTTATTTAATACAAAAAAGAGTCAGGAAGAAAATAATGTGAGAAATGTATAAAACATATAGCAAAATAATAGATATGCACTAGCCATTGTGATTTCCTTTTCTTTGAATTAGAATACAAAATGTAGTAAAGATATCAGTTCTCCTCAAACTGATCAGTGCAGCACCCTTAGCAACCAATAAGTTTGGAGCATAGTCTGAGGAATTGATCTCCAAGAGGAAAGGGATGAACATATTTGAAGATGTGGAAAATACTTCTGATAAGACTATGACAGAAATGTAAATTCCTTTAGGGTAGGAACTTCATTTGTCTTGTTCAATGATGTAATCACTAGAACAATATCTGGGACATGGTAAGGATTCAATAAAGATTTGTTAAATGAAAGGGAAAGAGGATGAGTGAATGGGAGAAGAGGAATTTGATATAGTGAGTATACACAACTCTTTTAAAGGTGTTTTTCTGTAAAGCTAAACAAAGAAATGTGGGTAACTTGAAGAGAAAGTGAGATCAGGAGAGGGGTTTTTAAGTTAGGATAAATGACAGGACTATATGCTGATATAAATGACCCCAAATAAAGGAAAACATTTATGAAGCAGGAGCCAAATTTTCTTCTGTTGCTCTTTATATTCTCATGAAAATGTGAAGCAAGGTCATCAGGTGAGAGTGAAGATGGTTCATGATCAGCAAGTACCCCAATATTCTCAACATCTTTAAATATTTTATTTATTTATTTTTAGAGAGAGGGGAAGGGAAGGAGAAAGAGTGGGAGAGAAACATCAATGTGTGGTTGCCTCTCATGTGTCCCCTACTGGAGACCTGGCCTGCAACCCAGGAGTGTGCCCTAACTGGGAATCGAACCGGTGACCCTTTGCTTCACAGGCCTGTGCTCAGTCCACTGAACTATAACAGTCAGGGCCTCAGCATCTTCAGATGTT